AAATTTAATTTATAAATAATTATATAAATAAAAATTGAATAGATAGAAAGTTAAAAAAATCAATAAAAATTTTCTAATCAAACAAAAACTCTTAAAGTCACTTTCGTATAAAAATTTGTATTTAATATATAATAATTGATTACTATTAATTAAATATATTAATGTATTTTATGAATTAAAAAACAAAATAAAAATCATTCTAAATTTATACGGAAAAAGAATGAACATAATAATAATCTTCTTTTATAATATATAATTCATAATAGAAGTTAATAGATAATATATAATAGATTATTATTATTACTACTTCTAAAAATATTATTATTATTATTATTATTATTATTATTATTATTATTATTATTATATTGAAAGCAAATGATCCGGGGCTAAATAAAAAAAAAGTGTAGGAAAGGCAAACTTTGACCAATTTACTCATAATTAGTGATGATCTTAATTTTATTAAATAGTTTATATACTTAAAAATATTTATCTATATAAATTATAAAAATATTTTATATATTAAAATATAATATTTATTTATGTATATAATTTATTATAAAATTTAATTATATATAACAAATATTTACTTGAGAAAGTATATGTGCTGTTATAACTAATTTTTTATTATTATTTTATTTTATATTTTTAATTCTATTTATCCATTCTTTCTGTTTAATCTTAAAAGATATAGATTAAAATATGTTTTTAGTAATTTTTTTATTTATCAAATTTAAAATTATTTTTTTTAATTTTAATTTAAAATAAAAATTGATTCTTTTTAACAAAATTCAACTATGTTACACAATTCTTTCGGTTTATTATTGTTAAATATGTTAATTGTAATTTAAGAAACTAAAATATATATTTTTTAAATTATAAATAATAAAAAAATTGATTAATTTTTTAATATTAAAACCAATTTTTAATTTAAAAAACTAAAATAAATTTATTTTAAACTTAATGACTAAAAGCATAATAAAAAAAATAACAAAATATTTGAGACCTATTTAACGTAAATTTATACTAATATATAAAAGAGATATCTTTTATATCTTTTTTAATAATTATCTTAGTCTCCATAATTTTTAAATCATTATATCTTTTTATTTTTAAAAAATTAGAAAAAATATTTTTTTTATTATCAAATTTAAAAATTTAAAACTAATAAATTAGTTATAATATCAATTAAATTAATATATTTTTATTATTTAATTTTTAATAATTTTTTTTTTTTAAGTAATTTTTTTTTAATATAATGTAGATAGGAAGTACCTTTTTTCTACTAATTATTTATAAGGAGGGAGAAAAATGATATGTTTCCTAAGTGAGGAAAAGAACACAGAGAGAGAGGGTTGTGGATGAATCATCCTTGATTTTTCGAGAAAGAGGAAGAAAACGGTGATCCATCGAAGACACAAAGGCGCGGACACGCAGATCCCCAATTTCGAACGAGAGGACATTCCATTTGTGGGGAATCTCTGACAATGGGTTTGGGATGTTGAAGGGATTGAAATGGATTGGAGAGAGAATAGCAATAGCAATAGCAATAACAATAGCAATGGCAATGGGTTTTACGATAGGTTCGTGTGTGATTATGACGAAGAGGTTCTCAGCAGAGAACGAAGCCCTAACAAGCCTTCTTCGCTCTCTTCCTCGCCTTCCAGACTTGGCTACATTGAACACCATGTTTCCAAATTCGATACCTTGGCTGGTGTCGCTATCAAGTACGGGGTTGAGGTACTTACCTACCTTTTTTTATTTTCATTCAATTTGCTCTATTTATTTATAAATTCAATTTAGTATTTGTGTTTTCCTCCTGTATTGTATCAGCTTGATTTCTGATCGTGTAGAAACTATTAGAATTTGCTTCACTTAAGGATTATGGATTTTGCCCGTGCAAGTTTACTCGCTTTGGGAATTTGATGATGAAGGGGTGGTGTATGATATAAGTCAAATTCATGCAAGGGAGAATTTGACGATGAAAGGGTAGCATATATGATATGAGTCAAATTTATGGAATGGATTTGATTATGAAAGGGTAGCATATGATACGAGTCAAATTCGTGTAAGAGGAAATTTGCTGGTGAAGGGGTAGCATATAATGAGTCAAATACATTTAGTTTTTGTGGCACATGTGGGTGTAGCCTACGTCTGATATGATATGTCAAAACTTAGATACAGATTTTTGGTGATATTTTTCAAACAGAATTCAAGTTTTACCTGTAACGTAGACCGGTAATGTATGCATGCAGACCTTTGTTATGCATGTTATCGAGATAAAACTTTAATTCTGATCGAAAATAGTACCGAAAGTTCCTAAGGGCCTGAATCTAGTATTTGTTGGATACGATATCCTTTTTAAATGTTTCAGTGGGTATTGTTGTTTGTATATGACAATATTAGATGACAGGAAATTCAGGGGGAAGGTAAGAGGAAAATACATTAATAATGGTGAAACCTCAAGACGGCTTTTTCTGTTTTGAAATGATTTTGATATTTTTTGTTGCATTGTCTTTATTTCCTTGTGTTCTATGGTTTTGTCGTTTCCAACTGTTTGCCGAACCATTTACACCTTTATGGTAATATTGTTGTCGGTTACCTCTCCAGCACTGCTTTTGAAATTTTTAATAATTTTTTTTTTTTAAGTAATTTTTTTTTAATATAATGTAGATAGGAAGTACCTTTTTTCTACTAATTATTTATAAGGAGGGAGAAAAATGATATGTTTCCTAAGTGAGGAAAAGAACACAGAGAGAGAGGGTTGTGGATGAATCATCCTTGATTTTTCGAGAAAGAGGAAGAAAACGGTGATCCATCGAAGACACAAAGGCGCGGACACGCAGATCCCCAATTTCGAACGAGAGGACATTCCATTTGTGGGGAATCTCTGACAATGGGTTTGGGATGTTGAAGGGATTGAAATGGATTGGAGAGAGAATAGCAATAGCAATAGCAATAACAATAGCAATGGCAATGGGTTTTACGATAGGTTCGTGTGTGATTATGACGAAGAGGTTCTCAGCAGAGAACGAAGCCCTAACAAGCCTTCTTCGCTCTCTTCCTCGCCTTCCAGACTTGGCTACATTGAACACCATGTTTCCAAATTCGATACCTTGGCTGGTGTCGCTATCAAGTACGGGGTTGAGGTACTTACCTACCTTTTTTTATTTTCATTCAATTTGCTCTATTTATTTATAAATTCAATTTAGTATTTGTGTTTTCCTCCTGTATTGTATCAGCTTGATTTCTGATCGTGTAGAAACTATTAGAATTTGCTTCACTTAAGGATTATGGATTTTGCCCGTGCAAGTTTACTCGCTTTGGGAATTTGATGATGAAGGGGTGGTGTATGATATAAGTCAAATTCATGCAAGGGAGAATTTGACGATGAAAGGGTAGCATATATGATATGAGTCAAATTTATGGAATGGATTTGATTATGAAAGGGTAGCATATGATACGAGTCAAATTCGTGTAAGAGGAAATTTGCTGGTGAAGGGGTAGCATATAATGAGTCAAATACATTTAGTTTTTGTGGCACATGTGGGTGTAGCCTACGTCTGATATGATATGTCAAAACTTAGATACAGATTTTTGGTGATATTTTTCAAACAGAATTCAAGTTTTACCTGTAACGTAGACCGGTAATGTATGCATGCAGACCTTTGTTATGCATGTTATCGAGATAAAACTTTAATTCTGATCGAAAATAGTACCGAAAGTTCCTAAGGGCCTGAATCTAGTATTTGTTGGATACGATATCCTTTTTAAATGTTTCAGTGGGTATTGTTGTTTGTATATGACAATATTAGATGACAGGAAATTCAGGGGGAAGGTAAGAGGAAAATACATTAATAATGGTGAAACCTCAAGACGGCTTTTTCTGTTTTGAAATGATTTTGATATTTTTTGTTGCATTGTCTTTATTTCCTTGTGTTCTATGGTTTTGTCGTTTCCAACTGTTTGCCGAACCATTTACACCTTTATGGTAATATTGTTGTCGGTTACCTCTCCAGCACTGCTTTTGAAACGAGTATTGTGCTGAATTTTTATTTTTTAAGTTTTCTTCTTTAATCAATTTGCCTAGTGTATTGAAGTGTAATTTCTTCATTTGGAAAATTATAGGTTGCAGACGTCAAAAAGATGAATAGCCTTGTTACAGACCATCAAATGTTTGCACTTAAAACTCTCCAAATTCCACTTCCTGGAAGGCACCCTCCATCTCCTTGTTTATCAAATGGTTCCACTACACCAGGGTATGCTTATCTCTATTGAATTAAGGGAAAGTATTAAATACAAGAAAGTATGGGAGTGTTTGGTAAACTGGTTAGGCTGGGAGCCTGGGACAGAGCATAACATATAGGTTGTACTCTGTGGGTTGTGTACTTTAAAATGAGAACAGAATAGGACATAAGGTTAAATATTTAAACTGGTATATTTTGTTTCCACTTAAAGGATGGAACCAAGGGGAATGGATCGACAAACTGTTCCATTCTTCTTTGTTTGTGTGTCAAATACTACTTCATACTTTTTGCTTTTACTTACTGAAATATTTGAATTAGTATCTTGTATAAAACAAAAGAGGGGGTGGGGGAATAATTTTTTATTTCTTACCTTATATTGGAGCTTTCATAGGGAGTTTGATATTTGGGCATGATTCATGTTAAAATTGCTAGGAAAGTTATTTATTGTGCTTTGGGCGAGTTCTATATTGGACTTGGTTGTACAAACAAACGAGAATATGAAGGTGAAGGTGGGAAACCGAGAATGCATCAAGAGTAAATAAATAGATTCGGGGAATAGTTTTTTAGATTGTATTAATTGTCAGTGGAAAACCATTTTACAGTTCTGTTAAACATGACTGCCACACTGTAGAAATTGAAGTTTTTTGCTTGTAGCATTGGCTTGTAAAAGTTTCTGAAGTAGTTGATAAGATGTTCACTAAACATGTAAAACTCTTTATGATGCCATTAGAGCAAAATTAAATCCTTATTTTTGTTATATCATTAGGTCAAATTATCTTAGTTTCCTGTATCCATAATATCATTCAAATTGAAGTTATTCCTTTATTATGATCTATTATCATATATATAAGTTCTTCTATCATATCATGTGTTATTTTCTCACTTAAGTACGGCTTCTTATTTTCTTCTGTCATATGAATGTACTCTGTCTATAGATCATTAATGGATGAATCCTGTATTGATCAATTTAAAGATTTTGTCATTTTGATAACTGAATTCACCAATACGCTCGTCGGAGTTTATTTTGTAGTAATTCAGTAGAAGTGTCGGGTTGTTATTTTCCAATAGGTTTAATATTGGATTTAAGTACGGAATCTTTTATGTAATGGATGCTTAGGAGTTAGGAATAAAGTAAGGGAATGGTTGTGGCAATCATGGTTGCTTATAATACTGTAAAATGAGGTGGTGATGGTAGTGGGTCTTAGGAAATTGACATGGTGGACAACGCTTTTTCATGAACTTTTTCTAACGGTGTTGTAATTGTAAATTCCTCCGTTTCTTAAATCCTGCTTTCATATGCTGCAACTTGGTATCCCCTGGACCTTGTTATGATTTTAATCTGTCATTTGTATTAATTTCTTACCATGTGAATTTATGTAAACAATGGAGAAATTTTAGAAGAATTTGTAATACAAGAAATTGGATCTGTACGTTCTCTGTTAATTTTAGTTTTAATATTTCAATGTTTAATATTCTTTTTGATATCATTACTTTTGAGTGATTTCTTTGCCATCTGCATTTAATTACTTATGGCAATGAATGTTGTACCTTCAGACACAGTAACTCAGATCACAGTCCACCTAGTCAGGCACACCGCGATCTGCTTGACACATTCCAGTCCCTGAGAATAAAGTCTTCAGAGCGGAAGGTCTCCCCAGCCATGAACTCATTACAGGGTTACTATGGACTTAGAACCTCAAGTCCCCCAGAAGATGGTCCATTCCCCAGAAACTTACCTATGACTGAGCGACCTCTGAGTCGTCACCGGAAGTCCAAGAGTTTGGTCAATGTAATTTTGGAAGGGATTATGGAAAAGTCTGATGGTTCACCAGCTGCAGAAACCAGGGAAGTTAACTCCAGTAAATGGAATGATAAGCTTGTCCAGAGACGTCAGAGATCTGTAGCCGACTTTTCCAGGATACCAGAGTTGCTTTTGAGGGAGGATAATAGTAGCATTGGTGGTCTTTCATCAAGAACAGGAAAGGGCTTAGCCCTAAGACCGAAAGCAGCTAGCCGAACTGCAGTGACAGCTGATTCTGAACCAATTGGTGTGAGTCCTGTGCAAATGGGCATGGGAGATGTTTCTCTAAATGATGGTTCATCTGCTGGGGTGAGGAAATCATCAAGTACTTCTTGTTTACAGGATCAAGATAACAGTGGCTCCTCATCCATTTGGCCAACCTCAATGTGGATTTTGAAACCAGACTTGCAGGCCCTTTCAACCGCAACCATTGGAAAACCAATCTTTGATGGCTTGCCCAAGCCATTAACTGGTCGAAAAAATAAAGCTGCACTTGATTAATGTATAGTATTTTATCAACACAGTTTTGACCCCGTTTGTCAGGTTATGGTCATTAGCCGCTACACCAGTGGATAGATTGGAGGGGAAGTAAAACAATGTAGAAAAGGCACATAAAGTATCAAACATCACATTTTATTTCTCTTTGAATAGGGGCATTATCTTTGTGCCAGAAAATACTTCCAATTTATTTATTTTTTTTAAAAATTGTCTTCGCAGCATAATGGCCATCTTTAAAAATACAGGACTGGAAGGACTGGATTTCTCAACCTTAGCGTTCATCCAATCTTCTTTCTTTTTTCCTGCGGCCTTATAGTGATTCTTTTGTGGATTTGGGCGCCTTCCACTGATTGACGAAAGTCCTAGTTTGTGAAAGGTGCCTGACTGTGACAAGCATGGTCCTATTCCTATACACGGGAAGTATGATTACTTCGGAATCTGACATAACAAGTCTTTTTAGTAATTGGTTAATGGGACATCATCCTTGGACACCTAGGTTCTAGTAAAACCTAGAAAGAAAGAAAAGATTGAGAGAAGTATAAATATAAGTGATGCGATAAAAAGGAGAAAAATAATAATTAACAATTATTGATAAAATATATGATATGTAATGTGAGTTCTAAAGTGGACTATTATCATAAGTGGTCTATCATGTACCACAATTATTGGCCTTTGAATTAACACAAGTGTAGATTATAATGCATCTTTATATAGGAATATTTTTGGCTTAAATATGTTTAAACTATCTCGAATTAGCTCGATTTTCATATTATTATTTTTAAATTTTTTTTTGTTAAAATTACTGGAAATTTTTTTTTTCTTTCAATTTAGTACTTGACGTTAGTTTTCTCTGTTAAATGATGACGTGACAAACGAATTATCACGTCATCACCCAACAGTGTCTGCCACATCATCCAAGGGACTGTCATGTGAATATGGTGATGACGTGGCAAATACTGTTGGGTGATGACGTGCCACCACATCATCACCTGACAGAGGAAGACCAACGTCAGGTACTAAATTGAAGAGAAAAAAAATAGTTAGGTATTTAAAACAAAAAATAATAAATTAATAGGTAGTAATTTGAAAACCGACCTAATTAGAGATAATAATCTGAAAATCGACTTAATTGAAGGTAGTAATCTAAAAATTGTCTCCGAAGGGTAACCTATTTTGAGTAGGGATGACAATGAGGCGGGTCGGGTACGGGTTTCATAATACTCGTCCCTGTCCTCGCGAGTCAAACCCATTCTCGTCCCCGTACCCGTCGGGTATATAATTTTCATCCCCATCTCCATCCCCGTCGGGTATCGGGTGTCAATTTTTTTTATTTTTTATTTTTTGTAAAAAAAATAATATTTTTAAATTATTTTTTATTATGTTATAATTATAATTAGGTTATTTATCTATCTCATATTATAATAAATAATCACACATAAAAAAATATTAAAATTATTTAATATAATTAAATTGAAAATGAGTATTAAATTAAAAATAGGAACGAGGATAGGTATGGGGCGGGTAAGTACATACCCGTACCCGATTTAATATATCGGGTTTTATCCATACCCGAACCCGTTCAAACTGGGTATTCCCCATCAAAGTCGGGACGGGTTCGGGTATTACCCGCGGGTATGGGTATATTTGCCATTCCTAATTTTGAGGCCACAATATTTCGATTGCATAAATTACACTGAGTGAAAGGAGCGTATGCGAATATTCATACAATCCATCGATTTCAAACTTTGGTTTGTCATAAAAAATGGACCAAAAATTCCAACAAAGATAGTGGACAATGAAAAGTGGAGAAAAGTGAAGATTAATAAGATGAAGAAGACATAAAACACTTGTAACTAGAAACAAAAGCAACAAATGCTTTATATTGTGCCATGAATTAAGATACTTTCGAAAAAAATTTCAAGTGCGGCTTAAATATGTTCAAACTACCTTCAATTAGATCGGTTTTCAGATTACTACCTTCAATTAGGTTAGTTTTATATTACTACCTCCAATTAGGTCAGTTTTCAGATTACTACTTTCAATTAGGTCAGTTTTCAGATTACTACTTATTAATTTATTATTTTTTGTTTTAAATACTTGACTAATTTTTTTTCTTCAATTTAGTACCTGACGTTAGTCCCCCTCTGTCAAGTGATGATGTGACAGACGGACTGCCACATCATCACCCAACAGTGTTTGCCATGTCATCACCATGTCCACGTGGAAGACCCTTGGATGACGTGGCAGACACTGTTGGGTGATGACATGACAGTCCGTTTGTCACGTCATCATTTAACAGAAAAAACTAACGTCAGGTACTAAATTGGAAAAAAAAAATTTGTCAGGTAATTTTAACAATTTTTTTTTAAAAAGTAATAATCTAAAAATTGAGCTAATTCGAGGTAGTTTAAACATATTTAAGCCAATATTTTTTGTCTTTTCATTTTCTAACAATCCTTAATGTTAATCACCATTAAGTGTCATTAATCACTATAAAAATGTCATCAATCACCATACATCCATTTTATCATCCCCTCTTAATCTGCTCCTCCATTTCTCTTTCCTTACGAAAGGAATGTTCATGTGGAGATTTCATCCTTTGATGTCCAAAACTAAATGAAGATGTTCATCATTCCATTCCTCAACCTCAAACTTGATTAGGTAAACCACACACTAGATTTGAACACACTTTTGCATGCTTTCATTGCGGTAGATCTATGCTCTGTTACCACATATTTGAACACGAGCAACCTGTGTTGCATTACGGAAGATCTATACTATGTGTCTTTGTTGTGTCGTAACAGATTTGAACTAACATGCCCTCATCATGGTAGATTTGAACCCCCACACCTTTGTTTTTGTTTCATCATGACAGATCTAAACATGTTGTGTCGTAATAGATGTGTATTTTTGAAGCATTTCTACACTTGTGAAAGAAAAGGGGGAGAGAAAAGAAATGGAAAAGAAAAGGGGAAAAATGGTGGTGCCACCATGTTAGAAATCACCTCTGACGGTGGTACATGACAGTTGGCGACACTTTGATGGTTGTGTTTAGTGGCCATAATTGGGAAGAGGAGAGGATACCAATGATTTAGTGTGAGAGACACGTGATGGTAATGTAGTTCTTAGATTAATCTAAATAAGAAAAATTGTGGTGCATGGTGGAGCACCTATAAAAGTGGTTCACCTTAGAATTTGTCGATATGTAGAGGTCTTTGCGAATCGCATCAACATTTTTGGCTAATAGTTCATTATATGATAAATTCTCAGTCTTGCAACAAATATATATATATATATATATATATATATATATAATATATATATATATACA